GTTTTCGGGAGCCTTTCGCGATCAATGTTAATTTTGATGCTGAAAATATTCAAAAAATACGTTAAAAACCTGTAGACGAAAAATAAGTTGTATTCGAACGAATAAGAGAGTGAAGAAGTGAAGGGTTAAAGTTTTGTCATGAACGCCTTTGTGAGTTTTGTGTGATTGAAATATTTTCACCAATCCACTCTACATGGAAGGTATTAGTCTTAATTATCTTAAAGATTAGCGTATCCCAAGAATAGGCTTCTTAAATCGTCGAGGATTCTTCGCGATGGACCATTCAACTAGCCGTGTTGATAGTGTAGTTATTGTAATCATTGCCTTTGAGGTTTGTGCTGTTTTTGTTCTTCGCTGATGTTGACAGAGGTCACAATGGACTCTAAGCCTGTATCGGCTTCATTACTGTTCATTTTAATGTCAGTTCGGATTCTACAATATTCATCGATAGTAATACATGCGGAAGTTGTGGTCGCTTCTGTGTGCTACACCATAAACTATTTTTAGATATTCATATTTCGACTGCATAGTATGTAACCTCCTCAACACGGATTATTTGGGAATGGACTTCTTAGCGTTTATTGTAAAACCTTTGTTAAAACGTCCTCTTTAATACTTTTTACATTAATATAATACAAAGGACTTCGGAGATTCTTCAGGACTCTTTTTACGGGCCCTTTTTGTCTTCGCTTTTTTGAAACTCTTTTGGGTCCTGGAAATGTTCAAATAATCTCCATCTTTTCACTATCTTTCTTTTCCATGATATTATGTGAAGTACAACCACAATGATGCTGAGATATTAGCAAAATTCCCGCCCTCCTCCTTCACCCCCAGGGCGGAATGAAACCAGCGATTACCCTTTCCGTGGTTTCACATGTTTACCATTGCACCACCGATGCCACTGTTTTGCCTCAGTTTTTTACCTCAATGGTGCCGTCAGCAATTATATCGTCAACGGGAATGATCTGGAGAGTACAAATCAGCACTGAACACGTGTAAGCTGGAGCAGCAGTCGAAATCACAATTTTCAACCTATTATTTAATGCTAGAAGGCGGATATCACAGTGGTAGTGATGTCCGTCATTACGGTCATGGTGCTAGTTCGATCCCGCGCGAGGCCAATCGAGCCTCTCATCCCTCCGGGGTTGGGAAATTGGTACCGGACTTGTCTGGGAAAAAATCAATCTCTGCAGTCCATTTGGGAACGCTCCAGCCCGGTTATCTGAGAACTCCAGGGAAAATGGCTCGGTTAGCATTCTGCGATATTCAAGATGAAATGAAAATCCTCAAGCGGCAACGGAAGCCACGTGTAAAGTTGGAAGTTTTTCGTGGACAATGGATGCCAGAAAACGAATCGAATGTGAGTGGTGCTGGGATCCGCACAGCAGTAGACGTGAGGACGGATCAAGTAAAAAGTAAAAAAAAATATTTACTGCCTATTTTTTTTTCATGGCAGGGTGCTATGCGAAATGCAACCAAAATGATGCAAAAACTTGGCTCAGAGAAAAGTAAAGGAAGTGCATCGCAGACTGGTAACTACTAGCCAATTTCGTAAAATGAACAAGTCCTGTAGTGTATTTTCGACCTACTTTTCGAGTGGTATGTGCGACTTCTTTTTTGGCGGAAACTCGGAAGATTTTTTGAACATTGACGCTGTTTTTTCCAAACTAGACTGAAAAAGAGGATCAGTAAATAAAAAATATTCTTCCTGCAATGGAAAAATCCTCAGCAGAGCTTTTCCATTCACTCGACTAACTAACAATTAAGGAGCTGATAATCCACTTTTATGTAGCACTAGCTCTTTTCATATATGACATGAGATTCTCTTTTTCTCAATAGATGAACAAGTCATCATAACTGTAACAAGTGCATCGTCAAAAGATAAAAAGTTCGAACCTGTGGGGTTGTCCATCCTTCAGCCATTCTTTTAGCCGTCACCTTCAAATGTTCGAAAATAACAACAGCGCTGTTTGTTTTTACCCTGTCTACTTCTGAGCTATTCATTGCGAAATCTTTCTATTTCTTCAACTAAGCTTTTAAAACACTTGAATCTTTCTCGTTTGAGCTATTTGCAGTAAACCACCATTACTGGTCGGTATTTCCATAATAAAGGATTTTTACAGCCGACGATTACAGTTCCTCTCAGAAAAATCACTTATGTGATGAGTGAGAGAATAGAATGCGAATACAGTGGCTGCTTTTAACTTGAAATTAATAGACCTTGGACCATAGTGAATTTTATTAGTTTCGATCAAAATCATAAGAACCTGCAAATCATTGCTGACAGGATAAAAGTCTCTGGTTTTAAAACTATGAGATTCTGTTTTTCTGAAGCCCACGACAAATATTTATTTCCCCCTATCCCTTTAAGGCTCACAAAGGCTCAAGGGTTTCGAAAATGGAAGCAAGTGAATACATGGTATCTTTCTAACAGCAAAAGAAGACGTTTCCCAATGTACCGTCTATGTTTCAGCTGCCGCTCTTACATTGTGAATTTTAAATGTTTTAAACCTCATCTTCAATTTTTTTAAATTCTATTTCTAAACGTATTTAAATCTGAAAGGCACTGCATAAAAATTAAATACACGATCACTGCGATAGAGCAAAGTCTCTTCTATGGATCTATAATGTCCTAAACTATTAAAAATCTATCGATTGAGAAATTTTCGACATTTCTCAAAAAACCGGCTTCTCCGCAAGAGGGTTAAACACTATAAACTATCCAAGCCGCTATGATAATTCAAAGACGATTCGTAATGGTACTGCATCTTCTATAACTCCTATGACCTCACGCCTTCTCAAAAGTCTTCTTGTCCGATTCACACTTACAACTTTCTTTTCTCCACGACTTTCGTTGAATGCTGGTAGAGTTGATTCACTCTGAGCTCATGTGATATCTGTACTAAGACGTTCCCAAGCCCAAACCACCGGAAGGAGACCTTTCGAGTGGAGAGCAACCTTCCCAGATGAGTTTGGTACTACGTGAAACTTTCTGCTCGCTGCCTAATATTTCTTTTCCATTATTGCAAGGTAGTCTGTGAAATGTAACCACAACAGTGTTGAGACATTTGTAACGTTGAGACCTCAAGCTAGATTCGAACTCGCAACGCTCCTTTCCGAGTGCTACCTAGTGTACCGGTTAGACTCTCGTTTTGCCTTTCTCTCAGAGTGTCTTAGTTTCATACTAATTATTCGACTTTGTTGGTTTAGTGAGATGCCGATCCAACTAGCCCGAATGTTCTCTACAGCATCTCTAAAAACTGCGCTTCAGTCTCAATTACGACTTCCGTCTCGATTTGTAGCTCGTCGCTGGTATATTTCCATCAGTTTAACATACTTATTAGAACAAAACGTGGCCTTTTTCATGAGATGCCGTTTAAGGGTTACGTATGCTGCCAGGCAATGGCCTCGAAGGTGACATCGTTAGTAAAATTGAAGCATTAGTACGGTGGGTTCTTCTGTACTCTTCAAACTGAGATTTAGAATCTTCTAAAAGGACGAAAGAGATTCCATACGAAAGGACCATTCATAGCATTCAATTGGTTGATCACTGTCTGACGCAGTATCCAGAAAAGTGTTAAGGAATAGAACAACAAAGCTTCAACAGTGCTTATGACGCAGTTGAGGAGGAAAATTGGTCTTTGTGCTTTCTTTTTCTCCTACTTTGACTCCTTGTCGAGGTATATGAGGTACGGAAGACTAGGTTATGTTCTCTTGTTTTGAACGATACCTCGGTTTTTTTTCTGTTCAAGCTTTGTCATTCCATTTTTAAATAACCTTTTGTTGTTGTGTTTATGTTCCGCGATATTTTAATGCAAAGATATTGTCCATGGAAAGCTCACGGTGGGAACGCGAACAGATCAAATTGGTTGCTTTCCTGGTTTACAGCGACCACCTCGTACATGTACCTTGGGCGTTCAATAATCATGAAACAGAGAATGAAGAAGGAAATAAGCAGTAGAAAGAGAGCAACGCGGGCCCCTTTGAGCCTCTCAAAGACTCATCTAAAGGACCCTAAAACCCACGCTCCTCCTCTTGATTCAATAGTTCTCCCAGCGCTCTGTTATGCAGCAAAAACATTGGCTGGTACTTCAACTACACCAGGAATACTGTGCACTACTCACAGAGCGCTTAGACGATATCTTTTGAAATATAACCGGTGCACATAACATCTGTACGAAAGGCGAAACTTTGACCTTTCAATTCCATCTTACCTTCGAAATCCAGTAGAACACCCATCGATAGTGAAACATAGATGGGCTGGTCATATGATGAGAAGGACAAACGATAGATGGGCAAAAAGAACTGACGAGTGGACCCCACGAGGATCCCTGCGTCCTCTAGGACGACCACCTACAAGTTAGGCCGACGTGTTCGTAACTGAAGTCAGCTGTAGTCTCAGTTAAAGTTGTCTTACAGATCACAATATAAGGCTCGCACCCACCACCGGACATCGGTAAAGTCGCCATCATGAACGACGATTTCGAGGCAGAGAAATGAATGGAAAATGTGCTGGTGTCAGCACAACTCGTAAAGAGAGGTCGTTCAAGTGTCCAATAAGTGGGCATTGAAAATAAAATGAGGGAAATTCAACTACCCAGTTTGCCATATGAAATCAAACTTGTGCGTCGAGTGACGGGAACGCGACTCGTACAATGAATGTCTCGTTTATTATCCAAAAAAGTCGATTCTGTACAACGTCATATAAAAGCTGAAAGTGTGGGGATATGAAACTCTGTCTCATTTGACGTACTCATAAGACCGCCAATAGACTACCGCTTCCTCAAGAACTTAACAACAACTTACTGGTTAACGAAAACTTCCATAACAAATGCTCATCGTGAAGCCAGAACATCCGTGAGCTTAAGAAGCAAATAACCGTAAAATTTGGCACCAAGTAGAATCATGTTGGAAAAGATGTTCAGATATAATCAACTTCTATTTGGATTAATAAAGCCTGCTAGCAGCTGTGATGTGAGACGAAGGATAAAAAAAGAAAGTTAAGCTAAAATTATGAAGTTAAAGAAAACTGTCACCATAGTGTTGTTTATGTTGTCCGCAACCATGCCGGTGTCGAAAATTTGTCGCAAATCATCATGCGCGCTGGAAGGAGGTGTGCTCGGCTCCAAGAATTCCCGAGATTTCGACTTCTTTCTTCGCTCAAATGTCTGAAAGTGAATGAGTTTAAATCCTCGCATGTAGTAATATGAATCCAATCGAATAGAAAACATTTGTCAAGCAAAACGCTCGAAACTCAAGTGAAGACTGACTTTCAAGCAATGCCTCGTTTTCTTGTTAGTGGCCCCATAATGAGTTCAATTTCTAGAAAATAAGGAACAAAATGTAATTTCGTGGTGAGCATGGCTATGATATATCGTATTTTCCACCATTCTAGACTCAAGTCAGCACTGAAAAACTGTTTAAATTGTTAAAAAATACGAATCGTCCCAGCGGTTTACCGCCAAATCGTGGCTTGGAGGTGTTCCTGGGTGTCGGGTTGCGATGTACGGGACTCATCTCCTTGGCATGGTCTCCCAAACTGTGAAGAAGTTCGACGTTTCCAAAAGGAAGCCTAGATAAGAGCAAACCAATACCAAGACGCACCACCGTCCTGGTATCGAACTAGTGGCATAGTGGCAAATCACCTTCTGATCCACAAAGGTGGCAACTGCCTGTGGCGGCGCCGACCTGGGGCAGACTTTGGCCAGGTTGACCTCGGTACTCCAGGGAACCACAATGGCTTAATCAGCAAAACTCCGAATAGAGGAGATTACGCTGAGACCTGCACAATGAGTGGAAACGGACCATCCAAGTATCCAAGTAGTGATAGTAAAAACATCAATAGTGTTTAGAAAGTTGGTACGGCTGCTGAATTAACGGAGAAGCGGCAGCTAAACTAGCGTCTATGTGGTAAAAATGTAGTCGGAAACAAGGAAACATTAGACAGCCTTGGCTTGTGGATCTCGTAGATCCGAAAAAAGGCCGGAAATAATCTTTAGCAGGCCATCGCCACAAAGATAGATTTAAAAGAAGATCTTGTAGAAGTCAGCTGCTTGAGAACCAAAACTCTTTAAAGGATAATGAATAAAGCTCTCGGCGCTGATCAATCCTTGAGGAACACGCCATATTTTCGACTTCATTAAGCATCGTTTGTAGGTGATTGAATGCATATCTAGCCTTTACAATGACTCGCTGTGGTCTGCCGTTGTATCGAGCCAGTGCTGCCATCCTCCCAGACAAGTGGTACAAAGTTGCCGATCCTGAAGGGATGGAAGGCCTGGTAGGCCATGGGAACGGGGATCGATTCCACGTGTATGTTGCAGGGCGTCTCTGACCACCACGCCACACGCGCCCGTCTTCAATATAATGTCAAAAGTGCTCGAAGGATTTAACCGATCCCAAAAATGCAGAATTAGATCAAGTTGCAACGACTTTGTTTTGTTTTTGATAAAAGCGCTGAGTTTTGACTCAGTTACGAAAACTAACTTTCCGACGTTAACTAAAACTTCTAGTGACCCTCATCATAATGACAAAAAGGAGGCAAAAGTTTCGTTGTTTTTATTTTTATCTTTTTTATATGACCCGACTTCACGTCTACTGCGCGGGTACCAGCACTTCTCACATTCTATTCGTTTCCTGGCATCCATTTTCCACAAAGAGCTTCCAACTTCTACGCGTGGCTTCGGTTCCTGCTTGCGGAATTCCATTTCATCTTGAATGTCGTAGAATTCTGGTCGAGCAATTCTACCCGAGAGTCCTGAGATAGCCAGGCTGGAGCGTTCCCAATTGGATTGCAGAAACTGATTTTTTCCCAGACAAATCCGGTACCAATTTGCCGAGCCCGAAGAGATGAGGGACTCGGTGGGGCCGGAGCGGAATCGTACTAACACCATTCTCATGATGATAAACATACTATCAGTGTGTTATCCGCCCCCTCGCTTAAAGTTCTAGCGGTGGCGTGAATATGAAAAAGCCCGTAGATACTTTTCTTTTGAAGTTTTTTCTCATTGTAGTGTGTACACAGAAAGTGTTACTTAGCTCACATTTGAGAATAATGTCTTATCTTCCACGTCGGCATCGGGTTGCGTCATATCTTCCATACGAGGTAATGTTTCGACATCTCCAGTGTCAGTTTGTGGCCATTCCTCCTGAACAACAAAAATTCAAAACCATAACTTTTACATTTGTCTTTATTCGTAGAGTTTCCAATGATTTTGAGCTTATTAGTTCTTGCGCACTACCACCGTGAGGACCACGAAGAAAAGAGAAACAAAAAAATTTGGTGTCAATAATACCACACCCGTGCCTATACAAAAATCGTAAAACTCACTAATTATAAATTCTGAAAAGTTTCAAGGAATTCTCTGAAGTAAAGGGTACGAAAGAATATTGATTCTGTTGTAGCACTGTGGCACTTCTTCTACCTCACTATAACCAGCTAAGCAGCATCCACGCTGTTCTTTCTGATGAAAATCCTGGCCAGAAAACCTCCATCCATATCATTCTTTTGGGAGAATTTTGTGAGAGCGGATAAAATTGATTCGCGATTTTTTCAGACGGAAAAGCGATAGTGCTTTATCAGCGATCTGCAATGTGACTGAAGACAGCATATTCGACTTGCCTTTTGTGTCTTATCAACGACTCCATCCCCAAGCATTCCGGAAATTCTTAGCAGTGACTGTGACGCTTCGTCTTGTGGTACCTTTTAAAGGATCATTTTAGGGAAACACCTTTTCAAACATGCGTCTTAAAGAATTTTGTAGCTATTCTGTAAATTTTTCTGCAATTTCATTAAATGTTAGGAGAAAAGTGTTGAGAGTGAAAGAGAAGGAAATATCCTTCTAAGAAGGATGTAAAAAATTCAAAGATAAAATGCGGATAGCGCGCCTCATACGTGAGTTACTCCGTGTCCATGCTACGGCCATTTCATGAACAATACATATCCACCTCATCCTCACATTTATCTTCTTTCGCTTAGCATTGATTCTGCACCGCACACAATTCTTTGCCTCTTTTTGCCAATTCTTTAAATCCCTGACGAACACTATACATTTCTTTTGTTTACATTGTTGAGCTTACACAAGGTTGACAAGAGATGCTTATTCGGCTAACGTTTCGACGTCTTCGTCTTCGTCAGAGCCGACGATCCTTGTCAATGGTTCACAATTGTTCCCTCTTGTCGGTGTAGCGTCTTCGTCTCGCATCGAACCGGATCCCCCTCAGTTGGACATCTCGAATGAACTGAACACACCCACGACGCTCTTTTATACAGAGCGATTGTTGTCTATATGATTACCGTTTAATAATAGTTTGTTTTTCAACTGATAATGTTGTTAAAATGTTCGTTGTTAAAGATCTCTAGTGTTAAAGTTATTGTTTTACCATACATTTCGCCTGTACTCTTTCTACTTCAACTCCTTTTATCGCCTCCTTGACATATCACATCAGACCCGGTTTAAATAGCTCTTACAACGCACGCTAGTAGTTCGAGCCAGCTCCGCCTCCCCAAACGTTTCATTCTTCCGAGGCAGGGAAATTGATACCGTTTTTGTCTGTGAAAGGTTCACTCCCTGCATTCCATTTGGAAACGCTCTAGCCCAGCTATCTCGGAAATCCAGCGAGAATGACTCGACCAGCAGTCAACGATACGCACGTTGAAAGGAAAACTCTCAAGCAGAGCTCGAACCTACACGCAAAAGTTGGAAGTCCTTCGATGGACGAGAAGAAATGAATCGAACGCAAGAAGTTCTCCGATTCGCGCCAGTGGATGTGAAAGATGGGCCGTATAAAATAAAGTAAATAAATAAAATTAGAGCATACTCATACTACTTTTTCGCAGTTGTTTCTGTGAACTAGGCCTAGAGAGTATCTAATTAGTCCAACTACTTGACAGCGCAGCACTGATGGCTCATCATAGTTGGGAAACTGTAATATAAAATAGTGTCCATTAATAGGCCATGATCACTCAAGTTAAGAATTAGCTTGAGGCTTCCAGCTTGGACGCTCAGCTAAGAGAAAACCCATCATACGGCGGAGCTTGAAGTAGTAGCGGTGATTACTTTTTTTCTGAATACCAGTAGAAATAAAGTTAATCTTGTCAAAAATTTGGTGCTGTCCGGGTTATTTGAACAAACGGAGGACGCTGATCATCTCTGGTATGCAACTGGAACAAATGAAACTCTAATGGTGACCGCTTTAGTGATGCTGATATATTCGCAAAACTGCGGACCGCAGGTGTCCGTGGTGGGGAACGAACGCGCTATTACTCTTTTGGGGGTTAACGCATTCACCACCACAGAATGCGGGTCCTTCTTTTCGCCTGTCTCTTGGCCAGTTCTATCGATCAGTGCATGAGCAATCACCTGTTAGCTGGATTGATCTGGGAAGCCCAAATTGGCAATCAACCCAGTTAAGCTGAGGCTGTAGTTGTAATAACAATTTCAACTTATTATTTACTGCCTACTCTTTTTAATGGCAGGGCATGTTGCCAAACACAACTTCAATGATGCTGAGATATCTGCAAAATTTAGGACCGTAGACGTCTGCGGTAGGGAACGGACGCGCTATTACCCTTTCGAGAGCTAACGCTTTCACTACCGCACCATGTGGCTCCTTCGGCTTCCCAGATCAATCCTACTGATGGGTGATTGTTGATGGTAGTGATCGATAGAACTAGCTAAGTGATAGGAGAAACGAAGAACAATATCCTGTCATTAAAGAGCAGGCAGTAAATAATAGGTTAAAATTGTGATTATGACTACAAGCCAAAAATGTGATTATAACTACATCCTCAGCTTAACTGGGTTCATTGACGATTTTGGCTCCCCAGATAAATCCCGTTGACGGGTGACTGCTGATGGCATTGATCTATAGAACTAGCTGAGAGACAGGCGAAACAAGGGTCACCTTGCTCTCTTGGTGTCGCCAACTCGAATCTTATTTTCCTCTGCTGGTGTCAACAACTGGAATTTTATTCGTGTTTATGTCTGTCATAGACTGCCTCCAGATCGAATGCATTCGATCCATTTGTATATATTTCTCATAGGCCTCCGTACCTGCCGCAGACACTGATCACCGAAAACACAAGTAGTATGTTGGATTTTTTTCTGTTGATACTTGGTCTATTCTTGAAGCAATTTAAATGATTCGTTCTTCTCATGCTTTCATGATTATGGTCTACTATAACATCCAAAATATTCTTCTCTCATATCCTTCAACATTAGCCGGTTCACGATCAGGGCAAGATCTTCTTTCTACTTATGCACTTTCGGATCTTATCGTTTTAGATGATTTATCCCATGTTGTTTCTCAGAAGAGGCACGACGCGATTAACGAACCGCTGCTTTCAATAATGACAAAAAGCGAAACGCCTGAGACCAGAGGTGCCATTTTTCAATGTAAATTGTCAGCTGTCCATAAAAATATTGAAATCAAAGAATTGTGAGAAGAGATACCTTATACATTTTTAGTCGAACTCTTGGCATAAACACGCAATGGTGATATAGAAGTATGCCAATCATAAAGATGATCATCTCAGCAACGTAAACTGTCACAGTAACAATCTGAAGAAATGCCTTTTGAGAAAAATCCGAGAGGAACAAAATTCAAGGCTTTCAGGAACAATCTAACAAGGACAGCCTCATTTTGGCCACTCAGTGGTTTTGACGCTTCTTTGGGCGTGAATTCGTTCAGAAATGCTAAGAAAGCGGCAGTGTTCATGGTTAAGGAGATTTTTGATTGCATTAACTACAACATAAATCATATAGGGCATAGCGCAGCGGCTACAGGTGTCCCACAATATACAGTGCATCGTCGGTCGCTGGTTCAATTCTACTTCCCGGGCTCACCAAGTACTCCGCCTCTCACGAGTCGATAAATTGGTACCACGCTTGTCTGCGATGATAAAAAAAACACTAAACTGACACGTCGCTAGACAACTGCAGTCTTGTATGTGCCAGATTTGTATCCAACCATTTCTACAATGTCAGAGATGAAGTCGAATGTATCCGCATTTTTCAGGTATAATACTGGTCGCATTTACGCAATAAGAGTGATACTCAACTCATGGGTGTTATTAAATTGTATATTTACATACTTATTTATGCATATTCCACATTAACACTTGTACTCCTAGCAATGGTCAACGTCATGTTGTGGCCAACTCTCTAGGGATCTTCCCAACATTCAACTCTTCGAGCATTTCCACTTCACATTCACCAGCAGAGAATATTTCCATTTCATTAACATTTTACATCAGCAAATCACAGACTTAGAAAAAAATCTTAGCAACTTAGGAATTCGATATATCCGTTGGGAACTCCAGCTAAGAGCAAAGTAATGGCGTTAATCGTCATTATTTCGGAGAGAACAAAAGTCTGTGACGGAATAGCTCAAAAATGAAAGGATAAAGCTCTGGGCGTTGATCAATCCTTGAGGGATGCGCCATGCATTCGACTTCATTAAGAATCGTTTGTAGGTGATTGAATGCATATCTGGCCTTTACAATGACTCGCAGTGGCCTACCGCTGTATCGAGCCAGTGCTGCTATCCTTCTAGACAAGTCTGGTACCCATTTGCCGGCCTCGGAGGGCTGGAAGGCTTGGTGGGCCATGGGCACAGGAATCCATTCCACGTGTCTGTTGCAGGGCGCCTCCGACCACTGCACAACACGCACCCCTTAGGGGTTCATACTAACCTATAATGGTTCATACTAACCTATAAAGGCTGCAACTGACTTTAGGTAATGTCTGTATTTCGAACCAACCGATGTCTTGTCATAGATCCTCATGCTATTAAACGTCTTGGCGCTTATCTTCGCAGTTGTTTTTTATTCATTTATGTGATGGCTTTGCAATTTATCATTTTTTACCTTTTGCTGTGTTTCTACTTCCTCTACTGTACTTCAACTTCGGCTTCCCTTTTACTAAGAGCCTAATATCTACTTGCTGTTACTGAGTCAAAGTCCTCATGGAACGATGAAGAGCCAATTGTTGAGGTGTTCATTCTGAGTTTTCGTTGTAGTTAGAAACCAACAGAACAAAACACTAATCTGAACTCACACAAAAGCTTTCGAATTGCTCCCACCATTCATCTTTTCGCATGACCAGCTTTGTATCGGAGAGCTGTAGCAATGAATTGAAGAGTTAGAATAATCAGATATGTGGTGATACGCAAAAGTCGGTTAGGATTTTGTTGAGAACCGCTTTTGATTTATGGAGTGTACCGTTTATTGCAGTTATTTAAAACCCACTCTTGTATACTTGTATCCGTTAGCAGAGAAATTGATTTATAAACCTGACTTTTGATTTAAAAAAACTCATTTGCATACGTTAAGAGTACGGGAAGGGAACGTGTGGCGCAGTGGTCGGAAGCACTCTGCAACACAAATATGGAATCGATCTCCACGCCCATGACCCACCAAGCTTTCCATCCCTCCGGGTTCGGCAAATTGTCCACCATACTTGTCTGGGAGGATAGCAGCACTGGCTCGATACATCGGCAGGCCACCGCGAATCATTGTAAAGGCCAAATATGCATTCAATCACCTCCATACCATGTCTAATGAAGTCGAATGCATGGCGCATCCGTCAGGGATTGATCAACTCCGAGAGCTTCTTTTTTCAAGGATACGTAACTCATTGATCAATGTGATAAATAAATAAATTTCTGTTTCATAAACTGTGAAATGTGTTCGATATTGTTTGGTTTGCCAAGTGACATTGTGTTCACAACAAAAAGAGGTACTTAGCCGGTAGTTTAATAACGTATAGATGCCAGTATTTACGTAGTTCACTGGTAGCGACATCTGTCCCATTATCATAAAGTAGTTGACGAGTGATCGCGAGAAACTTTGCCGGCACAGGAAGACGTTCAATGTCGAGGTAGTAAGCTCTACAATCCAATAGGACGTGAGTCTGTCTATGGTGAAAACCTCGAAACGCCATGGTAGGGTTATCGCAGAATTCCCTGTAAAATCATGATCCCAACCCATGACAAGCCATGCAGACTAAGTACTCGCATGCAGAAACATCGAAAAACTACGGAACATATAGAGGACACTCAAGCGATGTTTCTTCAAAATACACTCGTCGTCTCAACAATATTCTGGCTTTCTTAGATTAGATTTCCAGCGAATACCCGGATACACGTCGAAACATATGTTGTGTAGTGACTAGTTATGCTAGGAGAGAAGGTTCATGGCACACAAGAGAAATGAAGTCGATCCCGATGTACGTAAAAACGACTTCGAAGAGGATCTCCAAGGTATCATTGCTGGAATGACTGCCATTCTAAGCTAGTGTTAATACATATATATATATATATATATATATATATATGTGGTGAGTGGGTCGTTGACATTTCCTAGCAGATATCCCTACACTATATATGAATATATATATATGTGTATATACTCTCTCTCTTTATATATATACCGTATAATATCCCTATATATACTCGATCCAGTGTAGGCAAACACATACAGTTTTCTACCTTAAGACGCTCTGTGATCTTCAATGCCTCACTTCTCCCTCCTATTCGGCGCCGTTGTGTTAGAGATGATGTGGAATGCACGCATCGTTAAGTGGTTAATTCCGCCTTAACCAAAATATCTCCTCTAACTCGCCAAATTTGCTCCAGATTTGTCTCGCAAAAGTTCACATTAATTCACAAAGGCCTGGAATTTTTGCGGTTACGAGCTTGAAAAGCTCTCGTATAGCTATTGCAGAATTCCAGCGAGTCTCAAATCCAGCAGCATTCAATGTCGTTCTTGAAAAAAATGAAATTCTCAAGCGTCACGCAAACTCACACGCAAAACCCGAAAGTATCGTGGATGACGGAGGTAAGACAACAACCCGAATAAAAAACTCTGGGATCCGCACAACATATGCAGACGAGTCTTATAAGTAAAAAAAGAATACTATGTTATCTTTACAGGAGTTCTTGTATTGTATGAATTGATTTCAATTCACATATGAGCGAATTTGAACTAAGCCTTTCAACATGTCTTAGCTGATGTTGAATTTTATCAGTTAACATTAGAAGGTTTTGAGATTACCTTGTCTAATTCACATTCAATTGTGGCCAAGGGCGAAATATTTAATATATATTCAATCACCTCCAATGATGCTTAATTAAGTCGAATGCATAGCTAATCCCTCAGACATTGACCCAATGTCGAGAGCTTTGTCTTTTTTTTTGGTAGCTCTTATATATCCAATACTTATCGTTCACTCATTCGTTACTTCGGCGTTATATGTTTAATATTATTCGATTTTTTTTCTCGGTAAATATTTCTAAGAACCAATGCTCTAGTTGAAATCTGTTTCACGACACCATGGGACGATGTTACCTCACTGGTATTTATGTCCTTCAATAAGCAGCACAACAACCAGGACTCTCAGCCCATGGGGTAAGGAAATTGGAATCAAAATTATTTGTGAAGCGCCTTCGTGCAAACATGCATTGATTCTAGTGCATGGGCAACACTGAATAACTTAGACTTCTGTCATTAGAAAAGCACTTCGAAATTTTGTCTTTCTAAACCGATGAAACTGTGGGCTTTTGAAGCGAATGGACTGCTTTTTATTCCCATTTTTTTTCATCGACGCCCTCATCTCTCAAGTAGTGAAGCAATTGAGAAAGCACGAATTCATTCAACACATACACTGCGGCATTCACAAGTGGGTTGCGAAGGTTTGCTGTTTGGTAATTTGAAGCTCTCTTCTAAACTTTTCAATGATTTTAAAAGTTTGAATTCATGAAAAATTATCAAGGGGGCGGTTAGTGCAGTGGTAGTGAAACGTTTCACCACGAATAAGGTGCTGATTCGAGCACAGCTCAAACTCACCATGTCTTTCTTTGTTCCGGCGCCGGAAAGTTGGTATCATAGCAGTTCGCTCCCTCATTCCAAGTGGGAGCGGTCTAATCTGGTTATCCCAGAACTCCAGAGAAATCGACTCGATCAACATTGAGCGACGTTAATAAAAACGGTGATCTGTAAGCACCAACCGAACCCACACACGAAAAGTGCAAAGACCTTTTCAGGTGATAAGCACGAGGAAGCGAATCGAATATAAGTGCTGGCATCCGCATAGTACACGAAGAGAAGCTCCTATTAAAATCAAACAAACAAATATAAAATAATCGTAACCTTTTTATTTACTGCCTATTCTTTTTAACGGCAGAGTATTTTATGAAATATAACTCCAATGATGCTGAGATATTTGCAAAACTCCGGGCCGCAGGTGTCTGCGGTGTGGAACGAAAGCGGTATTGTCCTTTCCGTGGAGTACCGCGTTCACCACCACACCATGCGCGTCCTTCGTTTCGCCCGTCTCTCAGCTACTTCTGTCGATCTCTGCCATCAGCTATTACCCGTCAGCGGGATTGATCTGGGAGCCCGAATCGGCAACGAACCCAGTTGATCTGAGGCTGTAGTTATAATGACAATTTTCACTTATTATATTTATTTATGTGATCTTATAAACTGATCTTCTTAAGCCTAAGCCGTAAGCTTAAGAAGATCGGTTTATAAGATCATATAAATAAATATGTCAACTATCTATGCCGAGGTTTGTGGAAAGTCGGTCTTACGCGTTTTATTTACTGCCCATTCTTCTTAACGGTAGGGTATTTTGCGAAATGTAGCTACTATAATGCATTATAGTAGTTTGGTACATGTTTTTGTTGAGCAACAACAACAACAACACCAAACGAAG